TAGACGTTCGTTGTGGAAGAAGCACAAGCACAGAGAAAACTGCTGACTGCAACCTTCTCTTTGGGACGACTTATGAAATTTTGGCTCATTTTCGCTTTTGGTTCGGTCGGACAAGTCAACTAGAAGAGCGAGCGTTCAAGAAATCGGTAAAGCCACCCCACCCCACTCCAGCCCGGTTTCAATGAAGAAGCGCTCGGTAAAAACGGAAATGCATACGAGCATATGCTAAAGCAATTAGGCTCAGATTTTGTTTCAAGCCTACATTCAGGCCTATAATTATGCTTGCGTTCAACTTAAGCATTGCTTCTACCACAATTTAAACACCGCTCGTATCAGTCGTGACCAATTTTACATATTATCCAATAAACTCTTTCCATTCCATTTTCCCTTCACAAATAAAAATAATTATCAATACATTCGCCGTCTATACGTTATCGCGGTATAGCTGCTGAAAATCTACAATGCAATTTTGTCTTCTTCCTTCTCAATACCCATGAAAGTCAGTCAGTTAATCCGTCAGTCCGTTACCTCACACGATCCATCTCATCTTATCTGCCAAAAAGCAGCCAGCTGCTCATCAGAGAGCCCAGCCGAGCCGAGCCTAGCCGAACCGGGTCACATCTAGTCTGTCCACTGGTCATTCCGCATATCGATGAATGCATGCATGGAAATGAAAGCAGCAGCAGCAGCAGCAGCAGCAGAATTTTTTTTTTCATGTTCTTCTTGTCTCGCAGCATAACCACAAATCAATCCCTAATGAATTCCATGCAAAACTAACGAAATGAAGCAAGCCTAATCTGCTCTCCTCATTTATCTTTAAAAACTTAAAACGCAACAATACTAAAACAACAATAATAATAATAATAATAATAGTAATAATAATAATAATAATAGTAGCCGTAGCAGCAAAAAGCAACTAATATGACAGACTACAGTTCACATCAAACACACTACACTATAATTCTAATTACAATTATGCCCAACCTATATCAATCACTCAGAACGACTTCTCAATTACTATCAAACCACTACTATTATTATCATTAACCCTTCAAAACTGATAATTACTTGTCGTCGTCGTCATCATCATCATACCAACCATCAACATATCAAATCTGCCTGCGTTCCATTCCTTCACAAAAACACTCCTTCTCTAAGATAAAACACAGTGGTTCGTTTCACTAGGCAACAACAACAACAACAACAACAAATTACCATTCCCCAGCTCCACTTTATCGAGTACGAAGTAAGTAAGTCATTGAATGTTCATTACAATTCACTGCATCCCCCCAAAAGCAAATGAACGCACCGCACCGCAAACCATTTCTATGCACTGCTTTCAAGTGCTACTCAAGCACAAGTTCGGTAGATTCCTATCAACTCGTATCTAATTGTTGCATGTTATTCAAATTCAACTGAATGGCGATATTCAGAGACGGATCGGAGAGCATATCGTGACGCATTCAATTTGGTGCTAGCCTTAGCTTGAGGCTTCTTGCTTACAGCTGCGCTCAGGTGCCACCTTTGATTTAATAATTTAAAAAAATCATTCCATTTCATTCGGGTGAGCAATATATCAACTAAATATGAGCCTGCTCAGTCCGACTGCAGCATCCCGCTTTGATTCTAGCCATTTCACTGCACTAGTCTGTGCATCACGAATCATTTGTATTGTATTGACAATACGATCCACAATACTATCCAATCATGGTAATAATAAACCAAATTCAGTTGCATGCTCACGCTATCTTTTAACCAATCGCTTACTAATATTCAACAGACTCACTGCTCAATGCTATCATCGGCTGAAGATGATTGACACACACATCAACTCACACCCTATCAACTCAACCCTAGGCAAGCTCTAAACTACCTTCAACTAGGTTCATTAGATCATCTTATTCACACCCAGTTGAGTAGTGCCGATGACCAAAGCCAACTATCACATCTAATCTTACTTTCAGGTTCAGGTATATGCCTCAACACCCAATCTAATATACCACAATGCAGAATAGCCATCTCATTCAGCAACTGACCAAAAATAATACACATTATTGCTATAACAGATGAACACATCAACTGAATAATCGATCGAGATCAACTCAGTTCAACTTTTCAACTGACCATCGCATCATCACTCCTTATTGCTTCATTTATAGTTAATTTTTTCACTCATTTCAGTCCAAACACACCAACCAAACACCAAAACACACAACAAAATTTCATACTCTGTTGTGCGCCTCAAAGCCTAAGCTCACTGATAACAGTGTAAGAAAAAAGCATCATTAAATTCGATATGATCAATCACCATTTCTAAACCTAATAATAACAATAATCATAATAATGATAATGCCAGTAATCAATAATTATAATAANATAATAAAAACAATTACGATCATAATAATAATTACTAATCATAATCACAATAACACCAGCGATAAGATAATGGCGGTGATAAACGAATGATAACAATAACGATCATAATAATTACGGTAAAAACAGCACACACACACTATCGCGGGCTGCTGAAAGTGTTTAGTTTTGAAAAATGTTCCATTGCATACTCACAGCGATCATGATGAATAGGGTAAACTGAAGAAAAAAATTAAATGATGTAAAGCACACAATCTGGTTTGATGCGAGATCATGAACGGTTATACATATACAAATAAATAACTATATAAATACATATATATATATAGCGATATTTTTTAATAAAATAAATAAGAGTTTATATTCGAAAAATATAAATATAACAGGAGAAACGGATACAGAGAGATTACTCAACGCTGAATTGTACTAGTTCACGAATGAGAAATAAACAATACACCAAGGCATGAAATGACACGATTTTGTGTAGAGATACAAGGGAACAGAAATAATACTTGCGAAAGAATGAGAGAAATGCGAAGAGTGAATGGACGAAGAAAGAGATGAAAAGAAATAACATGCGGCAGAGAATGAGACATTCAGTGTATAGATACGCGAATTGTATGCAAATGGGTGGAGGGTGAGCTGGCTGGCTTACACATTCGTTGTAAGACCGGATCGTGCGCTAGTATATATGTGTGTATGTATGTATGTGTGTATATAGCAGGGTGTGTTCAGCACCAAATACTAAAGTATATATGCCATAACGGTTCAATATTTCATATGCTGCATATAACACCACACCGCACACTCAAACACACACACACACACACACACAGCATCACACTCGTCTCTCGTGCCATATTCATCAAGAGCACCAGCCGCCACTCTAGAATCGTCTCGTTTTGTTGTCTGTATCTGAATACGACGACCCAACCCAACCCAACCCAACCTTGTTTCATGGATGACTGTTGTTTGCAAGTTCTGAACTGGACTACTCATTTCCCAATACGATTGGATTGCATTGATACCACGGGGATAACCATCTATCTATCAATATATCTATCTATCACAAGTGACACAAGCACATAACGAGCGCTCTCTTTCGTCCAGCTGAAATAAACGACTGAACTGAAGAATTAAACGGCGACTAGCTAGCTAGCTCACATCAGACCAGACTCATCCGAGGTTAACAAAGGTCGTTCGGGTGAATCTAGATCGCCCCCGTCTAAATATATTTCTGTTCAATTTAGTCCTTTTAAGCCCTTCCCGGTCCTCAAACCTCTGAATATTTACACAAGCTCTCTCTCCTTTCCTCGTTTCCTGCTCACCACGGCTGTCTGTCGTCACTGATCCTGAGCATCCGCACTAATGCTATGTCTCGTAACTGAGTTCTCTTCATTTTTCAAATTCCTATAGCATCAACATCGAAAGATTTTGCACCGACGTGAAATCGAACGCACACCGTGTGAATGATAGGAGTTGTGACCTGAGTACACCACTGGCCCATTGCACTCTCAACTACTTTTAACGACCACGTCAGACAGTACCACTAGCATCCAATATTCATCACTGATCGATGGGTGGATGGACGGACGGATGAATAGATTTGTGGAATGACAAAACAGGCAGTAAAGAGACCAGCGAACGGGGTCTAAATGATTTATTTCCTCCCGCTTCTGTTAACCTCAACAACTAGCTGGCTGACTACTCGCTCGGATGGATGGATGGATGGATGACGAATCACGGTCACTCTTCTCTTGCTTGTCCTTTGCTTTATTCCTGCTCTCCCTCAACCGGATTGTTCGTCCGTCAACAAACAACCACTCTAACGCCTTTATGTTGCTTTTGCTTATCGCTCTTGTGCTCAACTAACGGGCATCTGGCTAATCAATTAACGGGCATCTAATCAACTAATTGCTAGACCCACCTCCACTCACCTATCCTCGAAATTGTCCACCATATATCCATGCAACGCAAAATGATAAGTGATAACAAATAATAGTAACAATAAAAATATTTCTTCTCTTAATCTTTAAATCGCTCGCTTAATCAAACCATAAATCGCTCGCTAGCTCATACTTTAAACTAACTCGTCGTCGTTTTTTTCTCTTTATTTGTTCATCTTCTCTTCTATCATCATTCGTACTGACTGCTGACTCTTTATCGTTCTCTCTTTTAAATCTCTGCCGCAACAAACTCTGCATCGATTCATGCAGCAGCAGTCAAGATGCACAACATGATCACATCATATCATCCACATACAGTGCAAAACATACCACACCAGACACATCTACAAAAGCAAAGAGTAGCCTCGTGCCCGCCTCACATAGCCAACCCTTCCTTCCATCCATCAATCATCATTCTTCACTCAGCAGCACCCATCCTCTCTGTTTTATAAGGTGGGCAACGAGCGAGCGAACGAACCAACCAACGCTATTATATGCTCCTCACATCACATCAGCAAAGCGCTCTAACAACACCCAAATAGCCAACTAACAACGAATCGAAACGAACGAACCAAGAGGGCAGCAGGCAAAAGGGATGAAGGGTTGGACGGATAGCAAACGAACGATANACGGACGGACGGATGACTGCCTGCCTGACTGGATGGATGGTTAGATGGTTGGATGATTGGATGGACGTACATACGTACACATGCACTACGGACATTGTCGATTCGATTCGATTCGATTCCAAGTGGAAGAGCCAACCAACCAACTAAGCAGTCAGCAGCAGCTAGTTACGGGGAACCAAGGGACAAAGTAGAAGGGAAGGGGCCAACCGAGGACTACGAAGCGGTACTGTTTGTTGCAGTAGCTCTGGCTGCTGCCTGTCTGCTCTTTCATCGTGCTCGAATTCAAGTTCGCATTTCTAGATCAATACAACGACCATAACCATAACAATAATCCACCCTTCACTGGCCCACTGGCCAGTCGCACGCACATTCGCAGTCCCCAGACTTGCTTGCATTCACCACATTATCCATCGCATTTTCTCACCTCATCCCCTCTCGTTTATTTTCAAATCGAGGTGTCATCTGTCAACAAATGAATCAATCGCCCAGTGGTCAGTTCGCACCCACTGACCACTCATTAACCATCTCACCACTCAAGCTCTTTGCCCACAACTATATCACCATTACTGTTACTTTCATCATTATATAATACCTTCCAAAAAAATATGTCGTTGCACTAAAAAATGTGATCAAGTAACATTGAGCTGTTCACATTTTAAAAGAGATAGAAAAAGAAGACGAGAACAATAGTGAAAAATACTGCGTAAAAATGAGATGTGAGATGGCGTGGCGTAAAGAAAGATGATGCAAAGGGATGACGGCAAACCAGTGTGTAGACGAACACTGAAAGGCAATGAAACTGAGTGGAACGTACTGCTAAACTTGTTGAATACTCCGGAAACCTGCCTGAACGAAAGTTAAGCGGACTAAAAACAGTCCAGAAAGATGTTGATTAGTTACTGATCAGTGATTAGTTGATCAGTAACTGATTAGTTGATCAGTTACTCAGTCGATTCGATCAGTTACATAAGAATATGCACATATACATGACTGACACCTTTCAAATAATGTTAACATTTTACGAATGCCAGTGAGCATGGCATAGAGTAAAACTATGAAAATTCTATTTCACAGTGCTGAAATCCGTTGAAGATATATAGCTGCTTCTTAACATATTTCAGGACGTGGCGATGGGAGTAGTGGAATACAGCTTACTATAAGTCTTTAAGAGTCAGCGATTGGTGAGAGAGTCGGTCGGGTCGGCTTGTATGAGCATAAGTTTGCATGAAATAAAAATTTATCCAATGCAAGCAAGCAAGCAAATGAATATGAAACTTTAAAAGAAATTTCACTTGTTGAACAAATCACATTAAGAATCGCTCCTTCATCAGACCATCATCATCTTATAATTGTGTACAGTTACTGTGTAAGTTACTGCTGAGTGGTGGATTGTTGAATTTTCACGGGCAGTTGAGAATATGCGAATTTTGTTTTTGCAATTAGAATACAGTCGCAGAATTAGAACGAATAATATCAAACTCAATTTTGCCGATGCACCAATTTCGGCTCGGCGTTTATTTTGTAATGACACTGTCTTATATATCGAAACACAAAGCATTCAAGGCAGCAGGAGATGCGATGCTCCAAATGAGATCATATACGAAAGTTAAGTTTCATGCATAGTGCATGATATCCGTGTACATCTTATAGCTAAGTACACATTTAATTTAAAGGTTCATTTCACATATCACTTTCGTATCCATCCCTTACGAATGAATCGTCTCTTTTGCGTTCCGTCACGACATTTTCAGTTGTTTTTAGACTGTATTATGTTTTTAGACCGTGTTTTAGACTGTAGTCAGCGATTATCGCAAAACGACAACAATAACAAACAAATGAATTTAATGCAAGCAATAGACCAATGTGTTCATGAGCATCATGTCACAATTATCATTGATTGCTAATCATAACAGCATTAATAATAATAATAATAATAATAATAATAATAATAATAAAAACAAATAAACTAACCCATCGGGTAGCACATGAGCAGGAATGGTGGGCATTTGAGCGCCGCTAGGATGAAGTGTACCCGCGATTGGTTGTTGGCTAGTGGTGGCACGATAAGGCTGCGGTTGCTGCTGCTGCTGTTGCTGTTGTAGCATGGCCGCTGCACCATTACACTGCAGATTATTGGGCGCTAACGGCGCCATTGAAAAATGATCTGAAACGCATTTACTGCTGATTTACTGTTCGTTCGGTTTGTTCTGTTGCTTGGCTGACGACGACTGCCTGCCCGTTCCGTTCCGCCTTTCCATCCATCCATCGAACACATTTCAATTTCATATCCGCTTCCTTTCATTCATCCAACCAACCAACCCACCACCTCACCTCATCTATTCATCATCCATCTTTCAAAAGTTCTTCAAATTCGCTAACTAATGCAAATCAAATCAAGTCAAATCCTACTAATTCCAAGAGTAAGCAAAAAAGTTCCGCATTAAGAACTGCCTAACTCGAAATTTGGCTTTTCATAAAGTGAAACGAGATGGATGACCACATTAAGTTATCTCCTCGTCTGTGAACACCCCCCCCCCCACCTCACACTACTGCTTTTCAGCTTGAACACACCAAGTGAAGAAGCCTTAGGTTAGTGGCTGCTGCTGCTTACCGGGCGTAAATGCGTTTGAGGATGGTTGAAGAATGAGGCCTGGAGATGAGGACGATGCAAGACGTTTGATGGACGATGACGATGCGACCATATAATGATATTGTTGTTGTTGCATAAATCAATTGCAAACACCACTAATATGATCAGTAGGAATATCAATGCTTGTGATCACAACAACAACACGATTGATTATTATTATTATTATTATAATTAGTTTTATTCAGTTACGAATCCTTCTTTTTCCTCCGTCTTCTTAGACACGAATCGTCAGGCCACATTAAAAGTTTCGTTTCGAAATGCAAACTAAATGAAAGCATTATATGAATCGCATGTTCTGCAAGGTTAAAGGTTAACACAACATTTACACACTTTAATTTAATGCTCTTCACCTGTATTCCTCAAAACTTGTCTTATCTTCTAAGCAGAGCATCCCTATCCTAAACTAACTACTACATTTTAATACAATAAATCTGAACAATAACAATAATAAAAACACTGTAGAATTTAATAATCATCAAAATGAAAACAATAATAATCACGCTCATACAGCCAAATGCACCAACTCTCAGCGATAATCACCTAACAGCTATCTGAGCAGACCAGTCTTGATAACAATGATAATGAATTTAGTGATAATAAAAATAAAAGCTTTCATCCAGATATATTATACATTCATTCAAATATATATTAAATAAAAGACCACAGCACACATCACATATCATAATGCCCCAGACAATATGTCGTCGTGTGCATCATCCGTATGTCCTCTCTCTCGCATTCCATTCCTAATATTTTCATGCTTCGCTCGATTCTATTTCTCTGTTTTTTTCATTCTTTCGCCCACTTTCCTCACCACATCCTTTTTCCATTCCATCTCCACTAATCTCGTACTCTCAGCACATTCTCGTACGTACTCCTCTCTTCAGTCTCGATTATATCTCTTCCTTTCTTTGCCTTCCTAATCCACCTGTCCAATTGCTCATTTGTTTCGTTCCCTATCCCGTTCTGTCCAGTCCCGTTCCTATCCTGTCCTGTGCCGTCCTGGCCTAGCCTAGCTTGCCACTGCAGCATTCAGTCCTATCCTACCCATTCATCCATCCATCCATCCATCCATCCATCTATCTATCCATCCACCATCTCTATTCCATCAGATCGTTATTTGCTCTTATGCTGCTGCTCTTATTCGATTCAGTTCGTTCAAGAATGATGAGCAATGAGGAAAGAGGAACGAACAGAAAGAAATGAAATGAAATCAAATCAAATGAAAGGTAACTACTAACTACTAACTAACCAACTACAACTACTACTATTACTATTGCACACTTTCAACTGCATCTCAGCCTGTCTGGCTTGATGATGCTGCAATGATGCACATAGATATATATATACATATACCTATAAAATAAATGATTATTTTCTGTACAATTCATTCGAACGTTCGTTCGTTCGTTCATATTTTTATTTATTTTTCTGCATCGACTGCATCTGATGATGAAAAACCAAAAAATGAAAAACTTATAGAGAATCGCCACCACCAAGCAAGCAATCAACAAAATCAGCATCAATCACTACCTCATTACTTCATTTCATCTCATAATAGTACTATACTGTATTGCTTGGTGTTCATTCCCTTCTTCTGGCTACTAGATCAGATCATCCATTAAAACATATGCAAAACACAGCATAAACATGATATTTATGTTATTATTTGTTATAGTATTGTATTATTTATCCACCCAAAACACTGAATAACTGCTCAAATTTGGAGTGTCTGCTTAAGACGACGTTACTATATAACTCTAACCGAGAAATATGACAATTCAAAATCAACTGATTAAGATTTTTTACGCATAGCAAGCAGCAATCCGACAGACGTACACGAACCACAAGGCATGCCATCATTCTAGGTGTATATTTATGTATATATGATGCCAATATAAATTTTTTAATCATACAATAAAAAACAAAACATAATATATATCTGAAACAAATTCATATTCCTAAATAATACAAAACATCATCACATCAACAACAAATGGATAAGCAAACAACTCATTCGGGTATGCATTTCATCGCATCTTCAATTCAATCATCAGGCACAAATCTCTTTTACGAAATAAATAAACAAATAAATAATTAAATGAATACGAAATCCGAACATCACACACCAACTCCATATGAACTGACCACCCAAGCCCTCAGTCCGCCCACACATATTCATCATACCAACAACCAAACGCAGCTACCTATGGTTCGCTCAGGGTCCATCTCACGTGCACACAACTAAGAATAATGTCTGATCAATCAGAATAAATACAACTAATAAGCCCCAGAATCTTTCAAAAGCAAACCAACAGTAAACAAATAAACAGGTGTATCGAGTCAGCTTGATCATCANAACGTTTCGCACTGCATTCGTGCACGTTCGCAGTGCTATATATTATTCGAGTACAGCTCATTAACCCAACTGAACTCATTAAAATGACCTCATATCCCCACTGCTTATCACTAGAAAGTATTCTCTAGAATGATTATTCACCAGGCTTAGGCATAAGCTTATAGTAAAACGAATAAATGAGTATGTGTTGCGATGCGCGTTTTTGAAGCACGATTCGGATGATAATAATTAAAATTATTATTATTATCATTATCAGTATTATTATCATCAGTATCATTATTATTATTACTATCATCCGAATCAGAAATTAAAATTCAACGCGATCAGAGGAATAATAATTATGAGTGCGTTTGAAAGCAATCAGAAGGTAGATTATGCAGAGTAATTCAGAGTTCATATCAGTGCAGTTGGTGTGTAGTATTGGGCATAGCAGTTGATTTGATTGTTTGAATGTTTCTTAATAATTTAAATAATTCAATTGAATAACTAATAGTACATAAATAAAAATGAATAAGTGGATAATTAATTAATTAATTAATTAACCGCCTCATTAATTAAATGCCCCCCTTCTCGCACCCGTACTGTATCTGAATAAATACACTAAACTTTCTTCATACGCCCAAAAAATGGCTTCATATATACCCACCCTATCTACTTAACTCTCTAATGTTTGTTTATAAGTAAACGCTGAATAATTGCGTATAAATTATTATTAAAACAACCAACGAGCCAGCCATAAGTAACCTAATACAAGCAGCAATTAAGCTTCATTCCGAATCCATCTACATTGCGTTCGTTCATTTCACTACGTTGCTTCATTTCGATCCCAATTCCATCATATGCACTATCACTGCTCAATATCCTACACCTAGGCGATTACCCAAGTGCCAGCCGGCCAGTCAGCCTCACTTTAAGCTCTAACTCTATCAGCAGCTAGTTGTTTGTGTCATCATCCATAAACAGTGTACCTGTACCTGTCTACTAGATGTCTACTAGATAATCGCTTCGTCATGAAATACCTGCCCATTATCATTTATTGAAATGAGCCATAGATAATTAATTCTATTTTAGATCAGTGCAAAGTAAATCAACCAACCCACATAACATTAATCAAAGCACTCACTGCAAAACGCACACATTTTATCTCAGTTTTGAAACAACAGCAACCATTTGCTCTGTCTCAACAATATCAACAGTCTAGTCACCTCACATTCATATCGATGACGATGCTTACCCATTATTTTTTGTCATTCATTTTTCACGCACAAATACAAAAACTATTAACTTTTCAACAAATTATACCAAAAGCAACACCATCTAAAAACAATTTCATTTCATGCCCACACAAAATTCACTCATATTTTGCATTAATTAAAAACAATTCATCCACCCACACTCATCATATCATCCACAATAATCGCTCTCATCCACCACACCAGTTTCTTCGCATAATAGCCCCGATGCAAGCTTGCAAAGCAACCGAATCGTCCGTCCATCCGTCCCTCTCTCCCTTGTTTCCAAATGACATTTAATAGTCGCTCGCTCGCTCGCTCGCTTGCATTCACGATAGAGCAGAAACTAGCAAAATAATTTCTTAAGGTTAATTCTCTCTGATTGATGTTTTCTCGCACTACTAGATTTGAGGCCATATATCAGCAAATCTCAAACAACAATAAACCTTAAAATAAGCCTAATCTCCTCTCCTCTCCTCCTCAACCTTTAAAACAACCCCTACGCACAAACATATCTATCATGCACTCATCTATTCAGCTTCATCTAACAATAAGCCAAATATCATCACTACAGTATAACATTGCACTAGATCTCGTTAATACAGAATGCGTCTATTAGAAAAGTGATATGATACCGTTCTCGGCATTCGCTGTTTCCATCCATATTTCCGGTGCGGTCTTATTCGTACCACAAGTCGTCATTTTAAGTGAATCTGCTCGTATATCAATCACGATTCGAGCATAAGTCGTCATACTCATTTTGCTTTTTTGTTGTATTTCTTCAGTTTTGCTGAGTGATTTATTTATTTGTTAAATAAATATAATTTTGAACACACTCCCTCAAAAAGGATCTATTGAACAAGTCACATTTATATATTTCAAAACATGCTGCTTTTCAATACCACTATCGTATCGTATCGCTACCGAAAGACCACTATTAATATCGATCTCCATATTCAGAAAATGTCCCATATTTTGCAAGCATCGGGGCTATTATGCGAAAAAAGTTTTGTGCGCACCCTAAACGCAAACCTAAAAGCAATAATACTGCACTGCTTGATCATCAGCATCTCGCCACCTTCAGCTTATTAAACCCAACTCAAATGTCAACCAGCCAGCCAACCACCGCAATCATCAAACAACACATCAAAAATCACCACATCGCATCAAAAATCCTTCCCTTCCCTAGCCAATTCCAGCACTCATCACCAACACCCACTATTAATGATAGATACGCTCTGCCCAACAAATCAGCATAAATTTAAGACTATTCAATACTATTCATTTCGACAAATCCACATTAAATTCAATTCAATTGCGTCCCTTCTCTCTATTTACTTAATTCATTTCGGTTTGCAATTCAACTATCAACCAAGCAAGCAAGCAAACAGCAAATAAACCAATCAAGCACTCCAAAAAATGACACATTGCAGCAGTGCAATAATCCTGCTAGAATTTCTCGCACTCTACGCCGCACATCCATCCAGATAAGATTAGACGACGAGCACGCTTCAATAATTAGTGCATTGCGTTTGACGGATGCAAGTGCATCATTAAAATCATCATATGCTCCTTGCTCATCATTAAAGCACCAACAATCAACCATAAACCATAATACAACTACTAACAATACATATCTGATATTACTGTAACTATGATTACTTTGTGATTAATNACTTTCAAAAAATCTATTACAGTCACATCATTTATACATCCATCCATCCACTTAACTACTTTCAAAATCAATGTTTTTGCGTTCAATTCTATCATCCCATATCTAATTAAATAAAATAATTTTCATCTATTCCCATTGCTAATTGAATAAAATAATTTCTCATCTCCTCCGCACATATTATCCTTGAAAAGTTAACATTCTCCACGATACCAAACCGCTCCTCTGATACCAGACTCGTGTGCTCATTATTACTCAAACTATTTTTTGCTACTCATACCCTTCCCTTACCTTTAATCAAAACAACGCTAATCTCTTAATGTGATCAATCGCTTTCTATTCCACACCGCCATCTCCCTACGATCATCATCAGCTACTAAACCCAAGCTTGAAGTTATTCCCGAAGATCCTCCCGCATCTTTTTATAAGGCATCATGCCCAGATTCTTTACATCTCAATATCTTCCTCTAGTGCTCACAACTAACTTTACTCAATGATCACAGCCATATCTAACAACGATCACTAAAAACAACTCACGATCAGCTGTTCCCATATCCCTTTGCATCTCATCTTCTAATGATCGATCAAAATTCCAATTTAGCACTGCAGCATCAAATAATAGCTGTTCTGTTGCGTTCGCATCATCAACAAAACGCTTAAAATTGTTTTGTTTACCAACTTTGCGTGTTAGTGCCTCATAAAAGCCGGCCAACCAACCAACCAAGCATCAATATATCACGAGTGCATTGCACAAATTCACATTCTAAGTCGCAATTATATGCGATAATGAATCTTGCTTCGTATGCATGAATGAAATGAATATGCATCATTATTGTATAAATATAAATGCATCCAATACCCGATTGCTGCTGCTGCTACTGCTGCTGCTGCTACTTTGCAAGTAAATAATCAAGAGAGCCAAGCCAAGCCAAGTCCAGTCCAGCCAAGCCCAATCGCCACCTAGCACAATCAAGACAAGAACATATACCAAAAAAGCACTCCAAAAAACTGATAATGATAAATCAAGTAAACGTTCCGATAAAATCATCAAAGATGAGCAATTGCTCAAACACACACACCCAAACATGCTCAGTATTCTAAGAACGGACTGCCAACTCCACCCCATGTGCCACGTCCAGTTCGCACTTATTAAACCCCATATTCGTCGAATTCACCTCAGCACCAACCGGTCGCATCAATCCTCTATTTTGTATCCACTACATTCAGCATCTTCCAGCTAACCGTGAATCAATCCCATTAAATTTCTCAATCCCATCTAATCCTTCCGGTAATCAATTCATCTTCTAAAAAACTAAATCTATCTTTAAGCCTACGACAACCAACTTAATTAACGTACGTCACTCAGTCAGTCAGCTCATCCCATAAATCTAGCATTTGCACATTTTATAATTAATAATGCCGTTCACACCTCATCAGCTACAAACTACACTCTCTTGAGTAATATCATGTGATATTTATTGTCAGACAAATTATTCGTTAAAATAAAGCAACAACTAATCAAGCTTCCGTTCAAAAAATCAGCACCTTCTCTATCGACATCGTTCGCGTTGTGCATTGCAAAATCAAAATTTTTCCTAAGAAACTGAATTTTATTCTATTCGGGTGCATTTATAAATCCATCAATCTATCCATCCATCCATCCATCCATCCATCCATCCATCCATCTATCCATCCCACCCGTCTTATCGCTGTCCACACCTCCTCCTTCGACTCAACCAGCATCAGCCAACCAACCATCCGACGAGTGACTTTTGCTTATTCATAGCATCACATAAAGTTGCATTCTTAAATCCTAAATCTGTCTCTTGTCTATTGTGCCACTGAACTATCCTCATCTGGTGGCTTTGGCTCAGTTCCTGTTTGCTGCATAAATGCACCAATTTCATATGCTATCCATCCATTCACGGCTATTTTTACTCTTTATTCATCGCTGAATGTTTTTAAAAAAAGAAATACAATGAAATTTACACGAATGAGAATATTACTGCTACTGTTGCAATCCCTATCAATATTATGAATCAATCATCATCTTACTAATCAATCATCTTACTTCTTAATATGCTCCTGTTTTTTGTATCAAATCTTGCTTCCTTATGACTTTATTCATCGCAACCTTCAATGTTCCTCTATATTTAATTTCTATTTTTTGCAATCGCTCTTGCATTTGCTGCTTTTCTTAGCAATTCAATTAAATTGATATCACTAAATACTTGATTTGCAGCACTCAATACAAAGCCATAAAAAATGCCGTTTCAGAAAGCAAACTGTAACGCAGCACACATCTTATGACGTAACCGTTGTGATTAAAGCAATGCTCTGCTCACATTAAATACTTTGCTATCCACCAAGATTCTTTAAAGAACGCATGCAAATGCAATCTTAACACCAAATCTCATCCAACCAAATCAACAAACAACTTGGCTCTAAACATTCATGATTATTTGATGTGATATTACTTGCTTGTAAGATTCATATTTTTACTATTATTATTATTACTATTACTATGTCATATCCATAATCCAATATCTCTTCAATAACTTTAACATACCTCTCAATTCATCGTCGTTATTTGACAATTCTGAAACGCCGTCGAGTCGTCGTCAATCGAAACAAAAATTCATATGATATATCCCCCTGTCGTTGGCTCCTTAAGTTCTTAACTGAGCAAAATACTTTTCTGATCTCCTTAGATCTATTGGACCGCATCAAACATTTATGATTATTTGACGTCACTTAATTATTTCACTTAATTATCATACAACTAGATGCTAGTGCTGTGCCTATAATCAAATTATGCATCAATTAATTTCAGTCATCTTACAGAATCCAAACAACCAACAAACTAATGTCATTAACAATGAGTCTGCAGTCGTTCTGCTCCACTCCGTCCACCTCAACACCAACCCCAAACCCTTCAGCCTCACCAGCACCATCCTCCACTCTGTTTCTGATTCATTCCAACGCTACCAGCACTAATCTATCTCATCATACTCATGTGATTATCATCGAAAAAGATGACGATCAGGAGCGTATCAACGAGATGAAGGCTGTTTTCAAGACAATACAGGTTAGTGACAACCCTCAATGCTCATTAACACTTAATTATTCATCCTCCAATTAACTTCATTTATATCAATCAGCACTGCAATACTCAAAACATTCCAATATCTATCTGCAAAAAATAACAAATCCTCAACTATCCATACTAGAACAAGTGCATATCAAATGAACCATTCTACTATCATATAACAACCCATTCTGCCTTACCCAACCCAATATCTTTACAGATGATTTTCTGTGCCATCGGGGTTGGTGGAAATATTCTGAATTTATTAACGCTGCGGAGTCGTACATTACAAACCGTTCCGTTCATGTACATTCGTTCCATTGCAATCTTTGACTTGGTATAAATCTCATTTAAATTCTTATCATTATTATTATTGTTATTATCATTACTGCTATTATTAATATCAATATTATCATTACACCTATTACTATTACTACTGTAACTATTAGTATTTTAAAGTATTATTATTACGGACGTCATCTCTTTAACACAGAGAGAGATGGATCTAAATAAGAATCACGGTCATGACTGCTATATCGCTATTCTTAAAGCAATCAACTTATGTACTCAAATAAACTGACCATTTTTATAGAGCATATGCATGTAAGCGAATATAAAGTAGACGGTATTATGATGAAGAGTGATAAATTCAATTCGTTGCTTGTTTTAGTGCTATTGCAGATCGGTCTGTCGTTTATAGCCATTCATTTTGGCCTCGAACAACTGCCCAACGACAGTTACGAACGCACTTTTTATTCGACTTATTTTGAGACGACTATCATCAATACATTCTTAGTGGCGAGTTGTTACTGTGCGTTGATGTTGACTCTCGAAAGGTTTCTGCATTCATTTTTTACTCTAGATGCTAATTCTTCGATGCTTTGCTTCGTACCTGTCCTAACCATCCGTCCCTCTCTTATGGCAGCTATCCACCCATCCACCCAAAAAGCTTGATATTATCCTATGAATCCGCCACAATCCCTTGCTAAAAGCTAACCAACCAACTCCCTCAATTCAGGTATATTCTAATCACCCATCCCCACATGCGTCGTCCAGCCAACCCCAAACGCACCGCACGTCTCCGTATCGTTCTTCTACTCCTCTTCACCTTCATTCTACACTCTCCTATGAGTGCACAAAATCGCATCAAATTCATCAACGGTCGATGGCGTAAAAGTAACAATGTCGAGTTTTTGTGTGTGTAAGCTAATTTATACTATAAATTTATTATGATTACTATCAATACTGCAATTATAACTATAACAATAATAATAATAACAATAATAATAATAATAATAATAATAATAATGATAATAATAACCCCAATCATCACCTTCCAGTGAACCAATATTTTCGCTGTATAATTACTACAAGATGAGTCGTGAATTTCTGCGCTTTATGTGTGTTATTGCAATCGCTGTGCTGAATGTTGTTATCGCAAGAAAGTTGCAAATTACTAAGGTAAACTCATTAAACGCCTATCGGTTACACCATTTACAATAATAATAACAATAATAATAATAATAATAATAATAACAATAATAACAATAATAATAATAATAATAATAATAACAATAATAATAATAACAATAATAACAATAATAATAAGAGTAATAATTACAGCGTAATCGAAGACGTATGGTACACAGACCAAAGGCTAGCACAGTCTCAATCAAATTCACAAGCAGTGATGCCACTTGCTCAGATATCTACAATGCGGACACTTTGTCCACTTTAAAGTAATTCTTTTGTCTATCGCTTAATTTTTAAATTATTTGCAATAATATTAATATTTGCAATAATCTAGCATCTACCCTAATCACCCCTCAGCACTCTACTCATAACCCTCCTTCCCACCACCCTCCCAGCACCCTCCCACCACCTTCCCAGCACTTAAACCTTTCCCAACCAACCTATCAACTCAATCCATATCCCATCTCTTTATTAAATCGCTAACTGATGACGGATATAATCGCTCGCAGTGCTATTATTTAGGCGTGAAAGTGCATCATTAATGCGAAGTTTCACTGAGAAGAAATTAACCGCGTTAATGTTTTCCATTACTTTCATCTTTCTAATCGGTAATCTGCCACAAATATTCGTTATGGTTCTACAGAATGAAGCCATCGAAGGCAATTTCAGCTTTCAAGTGAGTTCTCTTCACTTCAATTCAATTCACTAATCATTTACCCTACAATATTTCACCTCAATACAATCCCTCAAACTACAAAATAATTCCTCCTCAAAATAATTCCTACAATATAATTCCTCAAAACATTATTCAATCACTTCTATATACACATTATCAGTCATTTTATATCTTAATATCACTTATATCTAAAATTACAGCTAAGTTAATTACCAATCCAAACGTTCTGTTCCCATCGAATTTACCCATTCCAATTTACCCATTGATGCAAAACTCTCTTCGCAAATTAAACCAAATTAACTGCTCGCCACCTTAGTCTTAGTTTATTCGCTCACTCCAACAACCCTCCACCGATAATTTCTCAACTATAATCGCCACTTCAAAATGCCCTAACTCGCCGCACACAACTGAATTTTCTGCTGTTTTGAATTCATTTCCTTCACTTGCAATAAACTCTATTAAAATGCCCGCTAATCTAATAATAATAATCACCCATACATAACACCACTATATTCCCTCCTTACAAATAACACCTCAAAAACAAAACACAACTTTATGTGCTGCTCAAAATAACAAGACCACCCAAGCCCTATCAACCAATTACACAAGCCACTGACCCACCGACCATACCATAGATATGAGATTACCAAGTGCAACTACCTACATACACCACAAACCAACAATATATCACAAATATCTCCCTCCTTACATTTCGAATAATAATAATAATAATAACTGCACAACACAGAAATGAAACAAACGACCAAAAAGCACTTCTAAAAATAAACTTTTAATAAATGTCACAATTGCCTCAATTACCCTCAAAATCAACTACAATTTCAGTTACTCAGAAATATAGCGAATGCACTCGAAGTGCTGAATCACTGCTTGAATTTCTACGTGTTCTGTATGGCGAGTAGTGAGTATACACGAGCATTCCTACTGAATTGTTTCTTTGCGAGTCGATTCTTGAGCATGATACCGGCGTGTGCGCGTTTCATTTACACCACTAAACCGAGCAGGTAATCCGATCCCTTCCTCTCCACTTTAATTTACAACACTATTTCTTAAATAAATTCCAACCTACTGCATATTAACTTCATATTCTCCGTCAAAAACTCTAACTCTAAACTTTAATGCCAGCTTGTTGTATTGCTCATATGCGTGCTGATAACCACTTAACAATACTGATGATAACAATAATGATAACAATATCAATAATCTCGAGGTCATTGATCCCTGATACCAATAATAACAATAATAACAATAATAATAATAATAACAATAACAATAATAATGAATAATAGAGCAGATGTAATCCAAATTACAGCTGTATAACTTCACAACGCAATTCAATCATGCGCATCCTACCCACTGAAGTGTTACTATCGGATAACGATGCCACAGCAGTGGACTTCGGCGCGGTAGGGAAATGGCCACGGAATGGAATGTTCCGAGATGATTTGCTGATTGCGGGTGTGAAGCGCTGGAGTGATGGCGATCAAATGCGGCGAATGCAACGCTACAAAGCACTTCGTATCGGGCCTAGGCTCAGTGCTGAAGTTGGTGCCACTGCTATGGGCAGCAAATACGGCCAAGGCATCCAATCGTATCGTCGACGTGCAACAACCATCGTATTCACAACTACTTCTCAACCATCCACTACTGACGTCAGTACAAACACGTTGGACGTTACGGCAAGCAACAGGGCAATGACCATGTTCAGTACTTTAGAACCACCACGTTTTCTACCAACAAATTATGCCCACGTAAACAGTAATAATGACAATAGTAATAACGCCAATGATGACAATCAGCACTAATCATCCAACTATTCAATAATTCGTCATCCAATCAGCGAACCAAATCTACCGTATACTCTAAAGCGAATCGATAATGCATTATCACTGCGATCAGAGAACGTATGTGTCATGGCGATTGGCTGAGCTGTGCGCAATTCTCTTCGATTACATTAAGATGCATCATACTCAGTACAGTTACGCTAGGTATCCTCCAGTTTCGCGCTCCGATACCAACCACCAATAAAAGCATCCTAAACCGGTCATACCAACCCACGCCGACTCACGTCCACTCACGCCGACTCACGTCCACTCACGCCGGCTCACGTCCACTCACGCCGGCTCACGTCCACTCACGTCAAATATTCTCCATTTTTCAGACCATGTAAATTTTCACTCAACTACGAATTTTTTTGGTGTATATAACCAGTTTCCACATATATTCTCTTATAAATGATAATCACCCAACCCCAACCCCCTCCTCCCCTTCCCCTCACAAAAAGCCAATTTCATGATATACTATTGTTCATATTTTGATGTCACTGTAAAAATATCATGAAATATTATAAATTTAATAGATATTGTTCACACACACACACATATCACATGAATATATAATATACTCGAATCATCGATCCTACATGTAAATGTAACACATTTTGATGATGATATTATATTCATGTCTGATCGTAGTCTAGTAATCATAATAAGGCTAATGTTAATTTATTACTACTGTATAAATTTTATTTACCTTGTATCAGTTTTCTATTTCATCATATTATAACAATCAATAATAATTATCCTCAAAACGACTACTTTACCACTCAAAACGCCTATATCCCACATTTCCATATGGTATAGAACAATTTGTTTCTCGCAACTTCATATTCTCAAAGAGGAATCAAATTCAAGCAATCTAATTCAGTCAACAAATCACGTAAATAACAACTAATCAAATGATAAATTACACAAATATTATTCAGCAAGCAAGACAGACTGATAGATAGATAATCGATCTGACCATAAATCAAGCCTCGCAATCACTAGCTCTAGCTAGCCAGACAAATAAATCTTTTA